TGATAGAACAAGTGTAAGCCAAAATATGTTTACATGCATCACTTGACTTTTTAATTTTTTTTATTTTAATTTTAAACCAGAGCACAAACCTGTTGTTGGTGTGGAAAGCATAAGAAAGAAGAAACTGTTAAGTAAAGGGAAAATAAATAAATCCTATATTTCTTTTTGTTTTGTCTTTTGTTTTTTATTCCTTCAGCCTGCAGAGTGAGGAGCTGTCTCATTTTAAAGCTTTTGCATGAGAAAATGGTCTTGAAGTGATGCCTGTCCCTTTATACAAACCTGTATTCCTAACACTAGCATACCCCAGTGAGTTACCCCCCACCCCCCATTATCAAACGTCATCTGGCTTAAAAATGTTAAAATAATATCTACCATTTTTTAATTCTTGTATATTGACTTATATTAAATTTTAGATTATGTCATGCGGTTTTGAAAAACAGCGTTGCAATCCGCTGAGCTAATGTATGTTAGCTGAGCTTAATCAATGACCGTAGACCAGTGATGGCTAATCTTGACACCATAAATTATTTCTGGACTACATTTCCCATGATGCTCAGCTAGCTTTTAGAGTCTAAAAGCTAGATGAGCATCATGGGAAATGTAGTCCAGAAACAATTAATGGTGTCAAAGTTAGCCATCACTATTGTAGACACTACACAATTACTTTCTTGCCCTTTTATTTCCACCCTTATCCTGTCTGCTCCTCCTAAAGCTGTCCGAACCCATCAGCTGCTGTTAAAGAGAAAGACCAAGATCCTGGCGGTGATTAGTCATGCTGTCTGAGCTTAGAAGAAGCCATCTGTCCCTTTAACTACTTATAACTATATGTCAAAATGTCAAACTGGTCTTTTTAAGTCTGACTACATTCCAGATAGGTAATGTGAAATTTAAAAACAATTTTTTTTTTTTTTTTTACTTAAACCACTATTAGCATGTTGGATTTTCGTTTAAATAATACCACCAACTATTAAAAGATTATTCTAAGCACCACATAAATTTTTTAAGTGGTCATGGTGCCTAGAGTGTCGGCAGCGTTTCACATATAGAGATTAGCCCCTTAGCTGTCAGAGGTGTAACTCAACTGCTGGTAGCATCATCTGCCAGATCAGAACAACGTTCTGGGCTGACTAATCGCAAAACTGCGCAAATTAAGCGTCTGACGCCAGCATGCTCCCTCAGTCCATTCGCCCTACCTTCACACCTCGTTTAGCCAGGGGAACTAATGTCAAGCAAGGTGGATCAGGGAGAACTTTTACGTGGAGATGGAACGGAGGTGAGTTTTGTCATTTTATTAATATATTTGTTTTGGAAGGGGGACACCTCAGCAAGGGCTGCTCTAGGCAAAACCATTGTTTCATGAAACCACACATTTTGGTTAGGTATCCCTTTAAATAAATGAAAATATTTTGTATAATTAATGGCGTATGTCCCTCAATCAGCACACCAATTTATATTTTGCTGTAAATATTTTCACATATTTTTAGCGCCACTTTGCCTCTATTTTAATTTTATCTCTCTGTAACAATTTTTAAATTTATTTAATATTTTAATTTACAGCTGGTGCACCCAAGCTCAGTAGCCAATCTGAACCTGGGATTTAAATAGTTGACCTTATTTAACTCCCAGCATTCCACTGTGCAGTGAAGATAAAATGTTTTTTCAAACTCGATGGTGATGTCGTACATGCCATAAGAAAGTGCCATTATTTATGTATTCAGTTTTTATTTCGGGCAAAAGCAAAGCTAAATAGATTGTTTACTTTTTTTGAACAGCGTAAGTTACACTTATGTTAAAATATGACATGTTGCTGTAAGTAAACCCTTTGAAAAATGTTTTTATTTCAAAAAGAGCCATTGTACTGACTTTTCCACTCAGGGGAACAATTTTCACCAAAGAAACTCACACTTTATCCTTTAAGTATTTGTCACTGAATTTACATTACCATAATTAATAGTTTTGTTTCTTTCCCTTATTTTATTATTCTTTATTTATTACAAACATTTTCATTCTGGTTTCCAAATATGGTTATATTCTTAATTTATCACATAGAATAAAACAAATTCTTTTTTTTTTTCTTTTTTGGAGGCACAGAGTTCCTATGCTACTTAGGAATCATGTTATATTTTATTGCCTGCTATGTTAGATACCATTTGGCTCTCTTTTTGTCTAGCCTTTACTTAATATGCCTTGTTTCCAAAGGTAACTCATGTATAATTTTTCCATCTGGCTTAGTCTGTGTCTACTGTGATAGCCTCTTGGGTATATAGGATCCTATGTATATTTATTCTGTGTATGTCATCAGTGGCTTTAGTTGTGGTTGCAAAGTGAGGAGGAGGGAGGGGAAAAAAAGGTTTCATTGAGTTGTCTGCCTTAATAAATCTAGTTTGATTGTCCATGTGTTCTGCCTTGATATATCTATTTTTTATACCCTTTTCCATTCTCATTTGCTACATTACTTGTGTAATAATCTTGTGTAAATGTGGTAGCTTAGAGATCTGCCAATTGTGTGTGATGAATAATTTAGTATAATATTTAATATAATATGTTGAAATATCATACATTTTTTTTTTCCATCTTTGGCCACTATAGATTTAACAGGATCACAACAGGATCCAAGTTTACTTTACTTGCTTTTGGGGATTTGATAAATTCAGTTTATCTTTTTCCAATATTTATTTCATATTGCCACCAGATGTTGCAACAGTCTTCCGATTTGTAAACTGCATCTCCAGCATTTACCAGGTGATTCTGGATATATTTTCGTCAAACATTTTGGGACTACATACCACCCGTTTAACAATTTAAAGCTTGTTTCTGTTAAGTTCAGTCAGTAAATATATTTACAGATATTTCTTAAAGAATTTTTCTACTCCCTGTCTGAGCTGGAGCATTTGGAATGCCTGAACTGTCTAGAGCAGTGTTTCACAAACCAGTCCTCAAGACCCACCAACAGTCCAGGTTTTGTTAGTATCTCCATTGGAATAAAACAAGGAAATACATAAATCCTGGACTGTTGGTGGGCCATGAGGACTGGTTTGGGAACCACTGGTCTAGAGGTATGTTGAGTGTCCCATTTGACTGCTTAGACCTACAGCAAGACCTGGTGGCAACAGTCACTGAGGTTCCAGTGAGCAAAGTGACCCCAGAAAACCTGCAGCGTGTCGAAGGCAAGATAGATTCATTAAAGTATTGGGAAATCCAAGGAGAAAATGTCATGCCGTCTGATCGTTATTGATCAATTTTTATATTACTATTTTTAATCTTCAAGCTAAAATGGAGGAAAACAATTTTCGTAAGTTTCCTCTTTAAGATGTCCTTCATACATTGAAAACACGTTTGTAAAGCCATCGAATCAGGGTGAGGTTTTCGTTTTAAGCTGTTGTTACTTCTTCTAATATAGGTTGATTTAAATATTTGAATTGATCAGATGTAACTTGAGGAATATTTCATTTGTACCTTCTGACAAATTATATATTTCCATACAACAGTTTTCAAAGACTTTCCCTATCGTTCCTGGGGTCAACGAATAGGTTTCTTTGTCTCTTATTTTTGATATCTCTTATAATTTTTTGTCTTTCAATTTACTGGTCATTAATGACTCTGCCTTTATGATACTTTTTTGTTTGAAAAAATTCCCACGTTTTAGCTGCTTTTTTTTTCAATAGTTGTTCATTTATAAGTTTTTCGTTTTTTTTCAGTTTGTTCGCTCTTGTTCGCTGTATCAGGTGAGGGGAATATCTTGTTCTGCCTCTTAAATTCACTCAACATTCTATATAATTTTGAGAGTGAACCTCCCCCCCCCCCCCTTGCAACACCATAGTTCCTAGTTTAAAACCTTCACATATATAGGCTTAAATATCCACTTTAATATTCTCCCCAAACGTTTTTTTTCTTGTCTTCCAGTGAAATAACAGGATACCTCCCAGTTGTTTAATTTAATACATATACTTTTTTTTTTTATAAATGACAGCCATTTGAACCGTTTACTCATTTTTATTGCATTATATGTCAATGCTCAGTATGTTGCCTTTAAAATAAAATAAAACAGATTAACAAAGCGTTCATAGGGTTTTAAAAGCATGCAGTTTTTAAAACATGCAGAATGTAAGAGTTAAATATTTTAACAGCAGATATATATAGCATCCAGGTACACCCAGAAAGCCACGGCAATTTCTCCATAAGAAGTAAACATTGCTAATGTTACAAAACATTTTATTAAATATGATATTTCAAGGAATTTGGAGGGAGGAATGAGAGGATTCAATCTAGTTTGTAGAGTGGGCATGATGACAAATTAAAGTGCCTTTATAAATAGATTGTCTCCCAGCCTTATGCATCAGATACAAGCTGTTCCCAACTGCAATTTATTATTGCTTCAACACACAGACTCGGATAAAGTCATTTTTTTCTTTCCTACGTCACCTCTACTTAATTGGTCATTTTGTTTTTTCTTTCATGAATCCTTTAAGTGCCGTTAAAGGAAAGCTGTGAGTTAAAAAAAATAATAATTCATGGAAATAAAAGATCATGTTTAGTATATTCTTGATTACCCTTGCTTTGTAAGGGCAGCCATTGTTAGTCCTTTTTGGTAAGATATGCCACTTGTCTGCTTGGGACATTTGAAGGTCTGAAACTGTCCTGTGGTTTTAAGATTGCTAGTGTTTGCGTATGCTTTCAGGATTTGTGAATGTACACTAGCTGTTAATGTGTTCTTAGTCAGATAAGCTTCTGATCAAAGAGATTTGAAGATGACCATCCGTATAGATCAAGGGTATGTAAACGAAGAGATTTATTAAATAGAGGCATTTACTTTGAATTATTTATTACAAAATGATTCACATATTGGCTGCAATACATGTAATCCTTTTATTTTGAATACTAAAAAATGATCAGTTTTCCTTTAATAGAACTTGACTGTGGGCACTGTTAACTAATACTTAGAACAGATGTTGGGTCATGCTGGCCTAGGCAAAATGTTGGATTTTTTTTTTTAAATTCACCTACCCTTTTAGAGTAAATGTCACCAGTCATGTAGCAGTATCCCTGTCTCACCTTGGTGTGCACTCCTTTTATAGTGCCTGTCTGGATAATCTTGGCCTCTCAAAATGTTTTCTATGGCTTCTCTTTTGAGAGACAAAAAAAAAAAAAGCAAACGTAAACACTGTAAATCAGATTTACAGTCACTGAAGAAAAACTCAATGACAAATGCAAACCTTGCTGTTTCCCATAAATGTCAATGCTTACATTTGTCACCACAAGAGCAGCATCTAGGTACCAGAACCGCTACATTAAGCTGTTTTTGTAAGGTGCCTTAGTCACTATAGTGGTTATGGTATCAGAGGTGCCCTGGTGCCCAATACAGGGTAAGCAGTCAAACCATGCAGGAAATTCAAAATCCAGAGTCCGAGTACTTTGAGGCATGAGGAAGAGAGAAAATTTAAACTGCACAATTTTAGTGCCAAATATTCTGGTTTTTATATAGTCTATTGAAATTCTAATTTAAATAATGTTATTAAAAACCAAGAAATACTTGTGATAGGATTTCAGTACAACAGGAAGAGGTGGCACTTTGTGATGTGGGTTTAGGCTTCTTGGTCAATCCACTGGGTTTTGTACACCGTATCCATTTTTATATGTAAGCTGAGAAGTTTCACTATTCCAAATGATATTTATTTTACACATTGATGGATGTTTTTCACAGAACATAGGAAGAATTCAATGTAGGGAAAAGGACTGGGCTGTCTGGATCTGTGAATACTATCCAGGAATGTATGTTTGTATGTATCCAGGAATGCCTTTCATACTGCATAGTTTTAAGACTTACTGTGTAGTCTTTTAGAACACTGACAATCACGGTTTTAACAAAACAAGGACCTAATGTGTTCAATGTATAATTACCAATTGACCATCTAACTTCTGCTTAATGAGTGATATTGCATGTTACAGTAAGGACCAGAATGTCAGTCACTTGATATGGATCTAAAATGGGTAAATAGAGAAGATGGGATGTTGCTTATATTTGTACAAGATATAACCTTTTTAAAAGTTTTTTATAATTAATTGTTCAAAGCAAAGACATATCTTACTGAAACAGCATGAGAAATTGTGGAAAAAAGTTCAAGGCTATACTTTGATAAACAGTAAAACTAACTTCATGTTAATCATCATCTAAAGAACAATTTTGAAAATAATTAGCAACACTTAGGCTGTATTACTGAATATAATATATATATGTAAAAATTATCCCCTTTAATGTAATTAATCCACTTTAATGTAATAAATACAGCCCACAAAAATCAATACTGCTGAAATCAAAGTAACTTTTCCTCTGTGAGTATCGTTACTCTTATCTTAGAATTTTGGATGCGGATTTGGACCCAGTTCATAAAAAATGTATTTGGAAAGTGGAAAGAAATAAGGTAAAAAGAAAGGAATTTTAACAAATGGAAGGCCAAACATATTTTATTTACAAACCAGAGGTGTCGCAAAGGACATCATAGCTCAGTAAAGGTATATAGGCCATCCAGAACAAAGAACATTTTTTTTAAATTATTAAATCCATTTTCAGAAAACCAGACATTTACAGTAAACCTGTAGAATATGCTTCTCAAGGAAGGAGTGCTTCTAAAGACAAACGGACGCTATCTTTTAAATTGTTATTTGAAATTGATGCCCATTAAAATAATTATATATCAGGTTGCTTTATTGAAAATGATTGGTTTTCTCGTTGATATCTACATGTTGCAAATGGATATTAAGATTGTATCTATCATAAACACTTGTGGGCCTCCAGAATTCTTTTAGTATAGAAATATTATGCATTATATAGTAAAGCAATGTAGTTTTCAAACAGTGTATAAATATACTCTTCGACACGTTCAAAAGTGTAAATCTAAAGCATTCTCCCTTTCAAGACCTTAATCTTTAGAAACAAAACAAAGTTTTCTTCTTCCTGCATAAGGTAAAAATAGAGGGGCTGATAACAGTCCTTAACAGGAATGACTGTTTCATTACAAATACTGTGAACGTATATATTTCAAACAAATAAACTACGCAATAGTTAAAACTACCGTATTAAACGTTCAGCGCCAATAAGAAGGCTATGCACCACCTAAAGTGCTCCTAAAATAGCTATAATTAATAAAATAAACAGAAAATGTAAGCATAAGAAGGGGAATAATAAAAAAGGATTATAAAAACAAGCCAACACAACAAGACACACCCTAAAAAGAAAAGTCTCCTAAAAACCGTTTACAAATATTTTTTTCTGTCGGTTCCAGAGATTTTTGCAACCTAACAATGCCTCTGTCCGTGCAGATATTTCGCAAGGTTGTGAGTGGTCCAACAGATGACCTAGCATTGGGAAGGTTTAGTTGGTGGAAATAAAAGGAGACTAGGCAGGTGTCTTGTACTCATAAAACTGCACATCCTGCAAGGAATATTTTGTTGTGCTGGAGTTTCTGTTAATATTTGTACCGACACTCGCATGTATCATCTCTCAGAGAGATTGCCAAGTTTTATGTATATTTTGTGTATTACCTGGTTCTTTTGCCACTTTGAATCACTAGAATACTTCCTCAAAACACTTTATATTTCACTATATCGCCCCTCACCATAGTCTTACCTCATTCACATCCTACTTTGAAGGGAACAGGGTTGAGAGATATGCAGTAGGATTAATTCCTCAAAACTTTAATGACGTATTAGCAGTTAAATGCAGAGGGGAAACATTTTTTCACGTTGGCATGTTCCTCATTTGAGAAGAGTTTGCTTAACTGCCATTCAAAGACACCCAATAGTTAGGTACATTAAAGAATTCTATTAGATAACTATTTATAAAACAATTATAAAATAACAATCCCCAGGTAAAGTAATCTAGTCCCTATGCGATGAGGGTCACCTACAACTAAACAAAAATATATACTTAACTAGCCAAGTTTCAAAAAGTTCCCCAACCAAACAAAATGTATTCTCAGCTAGCCAAGCTCAAGAAAGTTCTCTGATTAATAATAGTTTTAGCGATTAACTAAACAGAAAAATAGTGTAACAAAGTAGTAGGATATTCATGCCTGTCTATCAAGACTGCAATAAATGTTAGATTTTAGAGAAAATTGCTAACAGAGTTGAAAAAAGCTATTGAAAGATCATCTGCATTCAAAATGAAAGGAAATGGAAATGAACATGAAGATGTGAATGTTCTTTGGAAGACTCATCGCTAACGAAAAGAATACTAAGTATAGATTTACATTGTTATTTTTTTGTCATACTTGATGGATAGTGATGTCCCGAACGGTTCGCCGCGGACGGCGAACATAAACATAAACTTTGACCCTGTACCTCACAGTCAGCAGACACATTCCAGCCAATCAGCAGCAGACCCTCCCTCCCAGACCATCCCACCTCCTGGACAGCTCACTAAGAATGCAGCTTCACAATGAATGTAAAATGGATGCTGTCCAGGAGGTGGGAGGGTCTGGGAGGGAGGGTCTGCTGCTGATTGGCTGGAATGTGTCTGCTGACTGTGAGGTACAGGGTCAAAGTTTATGTTCGCCGTCCGCGGCGAACCGTTCGGGACATCACTATTGATGGACTGTCATCAGACGTTTAAATCTATGCTTTCTTTGCTGGGTGTCGGGGGGCACTGTTTATAAAGCTGTAACCTCCTCCTATCTGTCTCTTTTCTCAGAATACGAAACCCCTTCATATAGAAGAAATGTTGATCATTTCCATTGCACACACGTCATTTGTCTTTGGTGAAACTGTGCACAGTTTCCCATAATTATGCCCTTGGATTCTGAATAATGAATCTAGCCTTCTGAACATGAGGGATCTATAAAGTTTGCATTTCTGGTGAAAAAGTTCTAGAAGTGGAACAATCCCTCTGGAAACCAATGGGTTTTGCCTGCTGATTGCATCAAATTTCGAACTTTGCTCCTGGACTTTAGTTTATAAATAACTCCCATTGTTATTGTGAATAGAAAACCAGGATTGTACATTGACTTGCAACCCTGGCAACCGAATCACAATGGAAAATTTCACAAAAGAAAATGACTTGCTACAACCACACTTTATTAAAAGAACACATTTGAAAAGGTTTATAAAAATATATACAGGAATTGCAAGTATAATATTTGTGCACCCAGAGCTGTCTGCTCTTTACAATGAAATATTTACACAATTTAAGTGTTTTCAGTCAAAATATATATATTTTTTTTGCCAGTTTCCTTAACAATAACATTTATTTTTGCTGACTAAAATAATTATTTTCTAATACAACATTTGCTAGTTTCTGACAATAGCTCAAGGGATTTTAACAGGAAATCTCAACTTGGTAGAATCTTTTGTGTTATTTTGGCCGTCAATTAGCACTAGGGGTGTGCGCTGGTGGTTCTCGATCATTTCTGCAACACTGCTGAACCTCTGTAAAAGAAGAAAAAAAACAAAAATATCATGTTTAAGCATCAGTGTCCCAAAATACAACATAACAGCCGCGTCCTACGCAGAAAAACCCTTTCAAGAAGTTAAAATATTTACATAAATCTTATGGTATAAACACTCAACTTACCATTGCTCCACAAAGTCTGCATTTAACAGACAGGAATCTTACATTGGTTTATGTTATCTTCGGGGTTTGGCCAATTAGCTGTGAATTTGGTTTGCTCTGCTTTGTGTAAAATTCTGGACTCTCTGAAGCAGCAGAAGACACAGTAAGAAATGTCCATCAAGTATACTTTTTTGAAAAGTAAATGATTATCGGAATTAGCGTCCCTGATGGACTTTGACCTACACAACCCTTGTTAATAATAATAATAATAAAAAAAAAAAACTGCTGCCAAAGGAAGAACAAAATAAACAAATACATTTCTGGATAAATAGTCTGCAAGTTGTAGATCTTTGTTTTTGTCGAGAATGACATTGCAGTCCACGTCAACGTTAAGAGCAGCTGTGCTCTGTAACCAACGTGAATACATCCCCTAGAGTTAGTAAGTACCATCCCACCGAATTCCAGTGTACCCCACAGTATAATGCAAACCACTAGACAAAGACAATGGTTTGTGTCTGCCATCACACTATAGGTTTGCGTATAAAGTTGTGCTGGGTGTTCTCACTCCTGTACTGAATATCATACCTCTTCTCCACTCTTCTCTCGACCAAGAGCATACTGTTGTGTTGATTCGATATACCGTACGGGAATGTTATATACTTTTCTATTGTAGAAGACAACTAAGGTGTATGGCTGCCTAGCATCTTGCCCAGTGCTTTTTCGTATTAAGAAAGAACCATCCTAGTAAAGAATAAAAAAAAAAAAATAGTCATATAGTCGTTGTGTATTAATAAGATACAGAAAAAATACAGAAAATGAGTAAATGTGTGAAACTAGATTTTTTAAACATTTTTTTTTAGGTTTGCCAACTTGCTTGAGTCTCTCTGGTAACTGCGCTGCATCTGCCTTTATAATGTAGGACCACTCTTATTGGCTGAGGGCATTCATCTGATGCTCTCAGCCAATGAGTACATTTCTGCATGGCCCTAATCTGGATTTGCCTTCAGGTGAAGACTGTATACAGCAATGGGCACCACCAGGACTCAAGTTAGTTGAGAGACCGTACTAAAATGGTTTAACTACTTATCAGAAGATGGTTTCAGGGAACTTCTAGCACCATAACCATTACAGCAGTTGTAGTAGTTATGGTGCTTGAAGCTTTAATTTAAAAAGACACCTTTACCAAGAACTTCTCTCTTTCAGTATTTGGCTAAATATTTAACTATGCCTGCCACGTTTTACTTGCCACGGATACAAAATCATTATTTTTTCTTTATTAAACTATATTAGTGCTTTTTTTTTTTTTTTTTTTTACTGTTTAATGGTTAGAATGTTTAGTTTTTTTGTTTTAGTAATGAGAATATTTTTATGAGCAATATGTACAAAGATGACATTTACAAACCTATCTTATTGTATAATTGCTGAAATGAAGATAGAAGCAAGGATATCCCTTTTAACATTAACAATATCATAGATAAAATAAATCTATGTCCAGAATTGTCAATGAATACATTACCCTGGATGATGATTGTAATGCGTCTTCAGCTGTCTTTCGAGGGCAGGACGACGCATACCATTCTTTATTAACTACACCTGCTTCCTGCAAAAAACAAAACAAAAAAAAGACAATTTAGAGATTTACAGTTGTGCTCACTATTCTCTTATGGTATTTCTAAATTATAAACATTTCTATAGAGGTCAGAGGTTAGGGAGCTGTGATGCAGTATCGCTTTATAAATGTGTGTTTATGATCAGCGTAGGCATTTTATTAAATCACCATAATGGTGTTCGATGACTTGAAGTTAGATTGTAGAAGATTGAAGGTTAGTATTCAAAACAACAAATTTTAAAAATTCCTTTCAACATAGTCCGTTATTTTTATTTAATCCCAATTGAACTCTCCTATTTAAATAATATTTACCCAATTTCTTTATGTATATATATCCAGCTGCAACAATCCAGATTGGCAGGTTAGATTTCCACCAGAATCCACTCATCCTTTTATTCTTTCCAGGACAATAAAATTGGCACCATTAACACGATAAAAGCATCTCTATCCCCATGACATACTTGGTAAATAGCAAACAAAGTTACACAATTTTGGAAACAAAAAAGTGATGATTTGGAAATCTTCTTCAACTCCGCTGTGGTCACAGATTTACTATTTATGGTTTCAAACGGATACATTTGCATACTTCCCTGGGAGGAGTGGGGCGTCTGGCGGGGTATCGGTCATCTCAAGGAGGCGGGCTCGATCCTGCATCCAGATTGGTGCATTCTCGGCTGCCCTAGCAAATGTCCCAATACGGACTCATGCTGGGAGCTGGGGGCAGTGCGGGGATGCCGGCAGGGGGTGTGTCCAGGATATATGCTCACTCACTTTGAAAGACCAGCATGATCTGAGCAAGTTGCTCAGTCGGTCTGTGCTCCCAGTTAGTGTTGTATATTTCAGTACTATATACACGTTTTAAACCTTGATTTACATACCCTGATAGTGTTTCTTGGATTAACCCTGGTGTTTATACACTTTGAAACTATTGCTAATTTGGACTTTGAATTGGCCTTTGGATTTGCCCATAATAACCATTGTCCTACGTCTACAGCTCCCACCCTCGTGACAGATATAAAGATAAATACACATAATATGAGAAGTACTAGGAAGTGACTGCTTCAAATATAATATGTAAATATATGTATCGTGTGTTGTTTATAAATGCTACACCTGGGTTAAACAATTGTTAAGATATCATATTGAAAGCTTACTTTGATCCTGACCCACTGTTTGCCTTAATTTGTCATTTATGGGTTTGTATTCACAATATATTCCATGATAGAGTATGTTGGGGCTGGATAAATAATAAATATTAATCTCGCAGGCAGGCAGTTTTGTATGGTCTACAACTTTATTCAAATACTCGTCTTGCAGTTGTTACCAAATCCTGACCCTCACAAAACCCTATCAGCCACTATTTTTAACGGCAAAGTTTTATGGTTGTGGCAATTTGATGAAAGCAGTATTTAAATAAACCTCATTTATTGGTCAATGTGGCATCTCTAAGTTACATGGTATATTCATTATAAATGATTGCACACACAGTTCTAAATGGCCTCCCAACAAGATGCAATCACTATGTAGTGATTAAATAAATGTGGTGGTAAAATATCCCAATAGTTGAATTCTACGTTAGAATATTAACTAAACAGGTCCAGATCTCACTGTTTAGTGAATATTCATATTTACAGTCCACTAGGTTTGATTATTAGATTGATCTCTTATAATCCCTGGTGTGTTGCTCTAACATCTGACTGGTTATTAGGGTATCATTGAGGATTTGGGATTTTAAAACCTTTTTTGCTGTTAAGATGTCACTAAACAAGTCATACCACATTCTTTGCTGCCAACTCATGCTTCCTTATGAGCTATAATTTGCTCACACACCACAATAGACAAATTGGGAGTAGCTAAAGCGACAATCATTTGCAACACCAAAATATTTTTGTGTATTCTTCACAATTCTAAAGGATTCACAATGCTTATAAGGACATCGCATTTTATGTTTAATGTTCATCAATTATACCATGTTGTTTCCATGTTAGTATGCCTCAATATCGCTCTTTAACCCCTTAAGGACCAAACTTCTGGAATAAAAGGGAATCGTGACATGTCACACGTGTCATGTGTCCTTAAGGGGTTAAAGTGACACTATATTCATTTAATCTCATTGAAGTGGTTTTAATGCCTGGAATTCCCCCCCTCACACCGTTCCTTTTTAATCCACTTCCAAATGGTTTAATGGTTCACAGGAACAAAGTAACATAATTTAAAGCGAAATGATGTAAACTTAACGCAA